AAAGTATTCTACCATTTTTATATCGATAAAAACAGTTCTATTTTCACTACATCTATACATGAGACAGTATTTCAGTTGATTATCATTATCTATATTGGCGGCCATTTGTCAACAATCTCACTTCGTATTAATAAGCATTTGAATTTGACAGTCTTCCCAAAACATGAAAGTAGACCACATAGGGAGGAAAGAGCAATTCATTGACATAATGGAATAAATATCTGGTCAATCAACAACTAGTTTTATGCTACGTTGGCAAGAAAAATCATTATTTCATTTGTGGAAATCAATATTTAACAATATCAAACTGTAAGGATAAAGCTCTGTACATGAATTACTTATAACGTATGCAGTCGAGTATTGTATATGATATGCAACGTGTGCCTACGACCTTCTGGCTCTCAGCAGACGGTTTCAATCAGTGAAACAGCTCAATACATGACAATGCCGAATGATTGATAAAACCATGAAACTCTCAAGCTTTCAAACTATCTGCTCATGGGGGCTATTTTCCCTAATTCATTTTCAGTGTAAAGGTATGTTTATGCGCAGATGAATGCTAAGTTGGCTAAATCAGAGACAGACAAAAGAAGTCTTGGATAGCTATATTATCTGACGGTTCTGCATACTTGTTTCTTTTTGCATTTGTGCTCACTGTTAATACCAAAAATGATGGGTTAACCATATACAAAACATCCTCCTGCTTCATTAATAAGCAACAGTCCTAAATTTTCAAAGAACCAAGACCATAAACAGGACTTCTACTTTACTTTTCTTCTTAAAAAGTATTATCTTACATTAAATTGCACTTCAAAAGACACGATGGAGAATAGTAAATATTTACGCATAAAATAAAATAAAATCTCTCCTAAAAAGAGCAACTAAAAAGGTGTATATAAAAGGGACCTAAGAGTTTCATGCACAATTCTCTTTTCAATAAATAATCCTCAGCAAGTACATACCTACATTGTATACAGTACACGCGACATCCACAAAAATAATCGGCACAATTCTTTGGTCCCTCACGATAACATCCCCACAATGCATAGTTGCAGAAAAGATATTGAAGAAAACAAAAACACACCCTTTTTTTTTCCTTTCTCAATTTTGAATGTTTCTAGAAATGTTGTGAATACACAAGGCGAAACATAAACACTTCTTTAGAAATAATCTTTCTTGCAACATATACACTGTACAATCTTCTTTAAAAAATTATATATCCTATACACATCGTTCATTGCATCTCTTATGTACATATAGTAAACCATTGCTGAATTATTACATACTATTTACATACCAAATACTTACAAACGTTCCCTAGAAAAGCATGTTCCTTACCACACCTCACACAAATAGTCTGAATACTATAGAAAGATATCACGTCCATACCTCTGCTTAAAACGAATTTAAAACCCAAACTGACCTAACGAGCTAGTATTGGATAGGAATTAGCCTTTGGTTAAATTGATGTGGAGAACGTGTGGGTCTATGTTTGAACTATTAAGATTCAGAGGGGCGTTATGGCTCTGTGTAGGAGTTATCGCCTTGCTGGATCTCAACAGACGATTCTATGCTTTCAGACCGAGAGCATCTAAGAAGCGATTCATATTTTCTGATCTGATCAAAATGCTCGGACAACTTCATCACTAGTCTACGGTGTAGCCAAATCTGAGAATTATGCTTTTCAAAACTTTTCAAGGCGTGACCTCGAAAGGTCATGACCTTCTCTAAAGGTCAATTACCCAGCTTAGAATGCAACGCAATCACACACTGCTCCTCAAGTAGGATGTCACAGTAATTTGAGGGGTCAGTGACACAAAGACGTATCTCCATTTTGAGAAAAAGTGGTTTATGTGTCACTGAGCACTTGGGCCTTAAGGAGTCAAGTCTGTGTTTCACTAGCCATTGACTTTAATGGGGTGTTGGGTGGAGTTAAGTCTTTTAGTTTCCTGGAAAGCCCACATTTTTTTGAACATTTTGATATCAAATACTGATTTTGGCAAAATATGGAGTTACGTCTTTGTGTCAATGAAACCTCAAGATGTTTAATTTCTTATGACAACTTTTCTCTTAGAGCATCATTATTTCCTTTTGATCAAACAAAACTATCGAACCATTTTTTGCCATTTGATTTGAGCAAAGATTGAAACTTCACTGAGCAAATGTTTGCACATAAAAAAAAAGCCTTACAAGGTCAAAAATGGACTTGAGTGTCCCGTTTCATAAAACTTGTCAATAAGGACTGTTACAATTCTAGAACAATCTCTTTCACTACCACTTAAATACTATAATTTTTGTAGCTTATGTCAATAATTGAAGAATTTAATTGATTACACCTACACGGAGCACATGTGTTCCGATGTCTAACTTTTAACCTTTACTAGATACTACTCCAAATGTTACCTCATACAAAATAGACACACCTTAAATCTAGATTTAGAAACATTCCCAAATTAAAATTCTGGAAAGCTCTGGAGAAGGAAACAAACATGAGCTGAGGTCTCATAGAGGGGCAAATTGATAATCATCACACATTGAAGAAGTACTTTCCTTAACTGGGAGATCCCCTTAAAGCTTTGAACCATCTTTTAAAACCAAAGATTGACACAACAGAAAGAACACGAGATAGATAAAAGACTTTCCAAACAAATCTCAGAAGATCTAATATAACAGCCAACCTGAAAAATCATTCTACTAACAAAGCTGCCCTCTGTAGTACTGACCTAGCGCCCTCTATGTTTAGAGACACTCAATGTTCCTTGGGACTTTCAACACAAAATAAAATCTTTTTTTTTTAAAAAGGTTGAGGTAAGCATTTGAACCAAAGGTGGGAAAAAATGAAAGATCTTAATATAGAGATTTTTTCAAGTAAAAATAAAATACTTCAAAACAAATTGTTCTTTCTCAGATACACTAGTCTCCTTCGCAAATTTGTAAGACCAAAATCTTGTACAACTTAGCAAGGAATCCATGTTTTAGAAATAGCTAGGAATGTAGAATAAAAGAACAAGATAACCAAAGGCAAATAATCAGAAGCACTTACCCAACACAACATTTCAACAAACTCTTTAAAGACAAAGTCTGCAAACTTGATGCTCTATCTACAATTTAACGTTCATGTTCGAACACTTTTCACTTTCTCAGATTTGGTACACACATTTATCACCTTCATGTCATGATTGTGGGCTTAAGGGTGGAAATACTAGCATATAAAATAATGGCTGTTGCGTTCTTGAGAGAAAAAAGTTAGGGCCATTGCAAATATGAAATTTTTCATTCGTTCAATATCTAGGGTCATAAAGATTAAATTTCCTTTACCAAAAAAATATACTGCAATTTTGTTTTAAATCCCTAAATATCACACATTTTTTTGACAGAAGAATGCAGAGAATTTGGGGTCTACAGAAAAAAAATTGTTTCCTCTATCCAGTCTGCACATTATGAATTGTTGGATTTAAAAATCATGATGACATGTTAAAACCCAAATCAACCTTGATTTATCACTATAGCTGCAAAATGTCATATGAAATATATGTAGGAGGGGTATTGCAATGTGGGCTGGCGTACACAGCTCGGTTACTAAAATCGATAGAATGATGAGATAAAGTGCATTAAAGCAAGGTGTAGTACCTACCCTATGCTGGCCCTCTTTGCCACCCCCCCCCCCCTCAAAATTCCCCTTCCTTCCTCTGCCCGATTCAATCAGTGCAACATCACTCTTTTTCTTGTCATTGTTTCATTCACATGACCAAAAACTGGTAGAATGGATGAATGTTATCTGTCAAACTTAGTTTGCTGCAGCGCAAGTTTGTCTTTGCACTCCCTCTGTACGCGTGCCTCTACTTCTGCCCAATCATTCTATCGATTCTAGTTTTGTAAGAAATTGCTTCACAAAACATAGAGCACTGTTGTGGCTGTCTTGGGGAGTGCAAATATGAAAGTCCATAAGGTCATAGACAACGAGAGTCACCACAAGTCGCAGGACTTCATTCTCACTCTTTCCTTCAGAGATTTAAAAAAATCTTCTTTTGGTAGATATGTTTTTTGATCAGTTTATTGACCACTCTGAAGGTCCTGTAGATTACACTTGATAACCAGGGGAAATTCTCTACCTTTATCAGATCATTATTTTTCTTAAAAATCATTCCTATCTGTATAGAAATAGGGAGCGCCATTTTGTTTTTCTTCTGGAAGATCAAACTTAATGGATATAATGACTGAATAAATTTATCTACTTTCATGGGATTATGTTTCAGTGACAATTACACAGTTCTGCGTAAAAAAAAATACATAAGGTCAAAGTTTTTCTTCAGGAAGATTGAACAAATTCAGTTGCTTCATACTCTATTCAGATGCTACATCTTTCAAATTCTACGTTCTATATCTTTCTCTCTCTACTATTGTCAAGGGTGAAAATAGTCTCACGGAATTGTAAAATACACTGATTTATATTTATACACAAGTCTTAAATAGATGTACTGAGCTATATATCAAAAGTGGCATGCAATTCCTTATCCTCAGGTACAAAGTTAATTAAAGCATCCTTCAAAGTACGAATGAGTGTAATAACAAACAACAACAAGGCGATCACCATAGCAATACACCTCAAGATACAAACATTACCTTACAAATACACAACTTACTCTACAATATAGTTGAGAATATATTCACTAAGTATATAAGGCTGGGTAATACATATAAACAAGTAGCACTTGGAAAATACTGCTTACATTCGACACAAATCTGTGTAAGCAAACATACAAAAAAGGGCATCAGTCAAATATATAGTTTATGGAAATAAATGGCTATTAGGATGATAACAACATTCAGGCATTCATATCCGTTAATTTTCAAATCCAATATCGTAATTACAAAACCTCGACTAGATCACAACAACAAAATGCATAAAAATATAATGTTTTCTCTCTCTTAGTCCTGTACAACAAAAATCAAAATACACAAAATCTGTCACTTGAATATATTTTCTCTCTTGAAGAAAAAGGGAAGAAAAAAAAATATATATGTACAGCATGTCCATGTACATAATAAATCAATATAAAAATCTGAATTTTTCTGTTGCAGTAACAACAATCCCATTCGGTACAAGTGCTCTGATTGAAGTTCAGACAATACTGCCAATGACAAACACACACACACATACACATCAACAAATATAACAATTAAATTGTAGAAATATTTCACTTAAAATAGAATTTCAAGAAGTGACAGGGAAGACATTTTTTTTAATTTCATAAAAAGATCCACTTGAAAAACAGACGTCTTCCTCTCCGACAAAATTTCAGAAGATTCCAATCTAACAGAAGAAAGTATGTTTATTGCCATCAAAATGCAAATAGAAATTCAGTTCATGATTTGAGGGTTGATCAATTATCAGTTGCTTTGGAATTCATTAACAGAAAAATAAAGTTGTAGAAAAAATCCCACTTCATTCAATAATCTCCAAACCTAATATGCTATAATCAAGGCAAGTTTGATTTTGTAATTCCATCTGCTTGCATGCTCAGCTAAAATCAGACTGCAGCATAATTCCTCTTTATAGAAGACTATCCAACTATTCATGCAGAAACGAAGAGTGAGAGAGATAGAAAGAGGAAAGAGAGAGAGAGAGAGAGAGAGAGAGAGAGAGAGAAATAACAGATCAATTTGATTACCTCCCAATTCTCAAAAATTGGCAAAGGATGAAAAAGATTTTGTGTATTTCAAACCAAATGAGACAGCACCATGCACTTAAGCGAAGAAACATAAAAGCTACACAGAATAGTCTATGAATAGGATTGCTATCGTTTTAAAAGGAAAATAGGAGTTTTTTTCCAACTAAATAGTGTCTTTACTAAGCTGTGACCTACGAAACGTGATGTATAATGACCTACAGGACGCATAAAGCTACACTACAACCTACACTCCTGCATTGGTTTTGCATTGAAATCTCAGCTACAACAATCACACTTTGCACAACTTCTAGAATACAATGATTTCATATACAACAACGAAAATCAGATACAAAAGAATATGGCTATAATATAATATAGAAGCAATAGAAGATAAAATAAACAGATTTGAAGGAATTAAATACTTTTTCAAATTATTATCATAGACTATTTACAGAATACCCGCTTTCTTCTTCATTATCAAAAAAAAAGTCTTGTTTTCGTCGCCGTCTTCAGTTCTTGGTATTCGTTGAAGCCAGGTTGAGCATGCATTCAACAGAGACTGGCTGCTAGGTTCAGTTCATGGAGGCACATGATCTCTATGTATAGTGTCACATGAAAAGTGGCTGGCAATCACATGGTCATCACATGGTCATCACATGTTCATCACATGGCCGCTGTGTGGATGGCCTTCAGTCATTTCATGGTTACCTACATCTAATCATAGTAAGATTCCATTGTCATCCCTGCATGTAGGTCTGCCGCACCTTGCCTTAGCAAATCCTCTTTTCTTAATATCGTATCAGCTGCACTTATTGCTTTTCTCGAAGCTACATCGTAACTTTCCCATCAACATCTCCTCCTTGCCAACATTGTTTCCAGACCACCGCACAGGTGCTCTGACAGGTCGGTTGAACTTTCACCTTTTGACCCCAAACTAGACACAACTGCATCCCCAGAGGGCAGTGTTCTGTGGGCTCCGGCACACACACGGATACACTTGCACGGCATCATGGTCCATCCACACACAAAATCTGATGGGTAATGGGAGATGACCTCTCCTTCCCGTGAGCTGAGGAGGTCAATAGGGTTGAAGGGTCACAGGTCAGAGGTCATCCAAGACATCACTTGGAGGAAGGCACATTGTTCTGACCAGTGTCCATGGGTTCAGAGTTCATCACAGGAACAAACCTCGCTGTAAATAGTAGGATAAAGTGAAAAGGCAGAGTTAAAAAACAGTATTAGATGAGGAATTTAGCAATTTTGATTCAAACTCGATCACTATCTATAGCTAAGGAAGACATAATGCATAACTCGGTGTAACGAGGGTTACAATTTATAAAGCAGTTCATACACATATACTGTCCATAGGAGGGTTTTCCAGTCAATTTTTGACATACATGATGACATAAGCATCAATTCTTGCTCTACATCATGCCGGTCAGTCGAACCTTTTTACTTTGCTATTATCTCGTCGGTCCTTGTTTTCTCATTATTTTGGTCTCAGACGGGTAATAGTTCATAGGCCAAAGCTCACCTTCCTGATTCAGCAGCACGTCTTCAGAGACACCTGCTGCCATCATACCTGATAGGAGAGAGAAACAGAGAGAAACAAAGAGAGAAAGAGATAGTGAGAGACATACAAACAGAGAGAGAGAGAGAGAGAGAGAGAGAAAAAAAAAAAAGAGAGAAGAGAAAGAGAGAGAGACATACAGAGAGAGAGAGAGAGAGACAGAGAGGGAGGAAAGACACAGAGAGAGACAGACGGATAAAGAGGGAAAGAGAAATAGAAATATAAACAAAGACAAATATAGACAGACGGGTAGACAGATAGGAATTGATAGACCATTGGAAAGAGAGCAAGAAGGAAGGAGATAAAAGACACAGTAGCACAGAGAGGGAATAGGAAATGTCAAAGAGATTGATTGAGAGACAGAGAGAGAGAGAGAGAGAGAATGGTTTAGTTCAGTTCTATGTTACGTGGGACAAAAAAAAACAATTTCACAACTATACACAAACAGACGACGACTTGGGAGGCTTTTTATCATTCTTCAACATCCAACTATTGAAAGCCATACAACCCTTGCTGTTATCAGTGTACCCAGGTCTAAGGAATCGGTACACACCTAATACCCTCATCTATAACTACACTACGGACCAATCTACTAGACAACTACGAACACAGACATCTTGGAGGGGAACAGGTGGGACTGAGGGTTTCTTTCAACTGATCAATACAAACACAGAGAGGTTTTGAAAAGACAAAATGGCCGACTCACTTTGTGCTTTTGAGAAAATCATTCTACCGGACAGGTCTGCCTCCGCAACAAACTGCAAGAAGGCTTCTTGAGCGGCAACTATTGGGTTAGGCAGATATACAAAGTCTGGTCAACTGTACAATGCCATGACGGAAGTATTGAAATGGTCCTATTGGATAGGATGTATGACGGTATACAAGTAGCCCCCCCCCCCCCTCAAAACCATATCTACATCAGGAATATGCAAAAGTATTCATGATCGATTCTACATCTGATTTGGATACCTGGTCCTAAAAGCGTAGGGGCATGAGGGTATACATCTACACGTACAACTAGATCCTCAAACCATTTCCACATTTGGCAGACATACCATCTATGGTCGGTCACCTGTCAACTGTAAAACAGAAATGGGGGACATGGTCCAAAAGGGTAAGGTGTAAAAGGGCATACTTATAGTCCCCAAACAGTTTCCACATTAGGTAGATATACAATGTATTAGCCTAGGGCACAACTGAACACAATAACATTGGGATTCAGGGTCTACAAGGGTGAGGTGCAAAAGGAGTAACCCCCCCCCCCCCCTGCCCCAAATAGGCAGATACACAGACTGAGATCAACAGTATGCGGTAATATTAGAATAAATAGTCCAAATGGGAAGGTCTGGAAGGGTTCAGCCCTTACCACCAGGGATGCCAGTTAGAATTGATCAGAGGGCCTGAAAATCACCTAGAATGAACTATTTTCTACACAAAAAAGCCTTATGGCCTAAAAATAACTGGCATCCCTGCCCCCCCCCCCCCCAACCCAACAACGATCTCCACATGAGGCTTATACACAAAGTATGGTTGAATATATACAAGAGAACTTGAAAGACTGTTCCAAAATGAATTGTAAAAGGGTTCAATTCCCCCCCCCCCCCCCTCCCCTTCCTCTTCTCAAGCTATCCTCATATCCGGCAGATATACAAAGCAAAATTCACTACACAACTGCCACATTTGAATTTGCGTGAAGGTTAGAAACTATTAGCTTGGCAGGTCATTGTACATTTCTAAAAAGTATCATCCCTCTACTGCAGTGAACTGAACACCCCTACTTACTGGACATCAAGGAATAGTCCGAGCTTTCATCAATCGATACAAGTGGAGCGTTCCATCGTGGGATAGGGGTGGATCTGGGTGTACTCCTCGGAGTGGCCACAGGCGATGTCAGGAGTGACAGTGATGTCGGACTGATGTTGACAGGACTGATGTTCTGATATGACAACATCTAGACAAGAAATTAAATGGAGAAAGTTACAATCAATGTAATAGAATTTGATTAGATGTAATTCTTTGCACGTGTATCTTCTAGTCTTCTTAAAAGTGTCTGGACACTTATCAAGCTGAGCTGATACATGTGCCACAGGATTCTACAAAAGATACACTTCATAGAGGATGCACATTTCCCATTTATATATGTCATCATATTCATGTGTTTACCCAATAACAGGTGTTGTTAATCACTACGAATAGCCTTCAATTTTATGAATAACAGGCCTTGTGTAATATACTGCATTTTCAACCACTCGCCCCATATTGAAAAGTCATTCTCTACATTTCCCTCACCTGAAGACTCTCTGAGAGACAAGGGGGTATTCGTTGATAGGACTACACATTTGCTGTGTGCAGACTTGTAAACTCATTACTGATATTGCCACCAAGTCTAGTGTCAGGGAATTATGACCTACTGTACATGGTAACTGATTAACCACCTCCCTTTAATTGTGGAAAGGTTGACAGCTTCTACTGACCTGCTGTTGGGAGTGGACATAGGAGTTGTCTGGCCGACCCAGGACAGTGAATGGACTGGTCATGATGCTTCTACTGACCGGTGGGGTGGTGGGACAACTGGTGAAGATGGATGTTGAAGGCAGGTTCAGAGGTGTGGTGCTTGTTGCTGTCAGGAGAAGAAAAAAAACAGAGATTAAAAAAAATACATATTTCATTCATTTCCAGAGAAGGTTGAGTTATGGGGAAGGTGGAAAACGATTTTTAAGGTTCTTCATTCTAGTTGAATAATATAGAAGATAAATTCTTCTTAAAGGATTGCTTTCCAAGTGCCCTCATTTTCGAAATATAACAAAATATAGCTAGATTGCTTTACCAAACATTCATGCCACAAGTCCCATATACACATTTCTGTGTACAGTGCGCGTGACTTCTAGCAAAAACGAGTCAACTGCTTATCATTTTAATGATTCCAAAACCTTACAGTATACACCAACTCTTATGTGCTACATAATTAACATTTTCCAATAGCTTCCAGATGATTGATTTGCATGGATGTCAAGAAAACCTAGGATCCATTTCAATTAATTGCAACTTCTATTCTAAAGCTATGGCCAGATTCAAAGCCTACCAGACTCTGTATACACGTACATGAAATATAGTATAAATGCATTTGTTTAAAGCCCCACTGCACTACTTATAGCTACTTGCGCCCTCTATATAGCAAACAATGCCTATGTGGTGATTGTTGATCCCCCATGGTCCCCTCTTTCTTCTGTTAATTGAAAGCTGATTTGATGAGATAACTACCAGCCAGTGACCTTGCAGGGAGGTCTAATCCCTCCTGGCCAAACTAGTGCAGACAGGCTTTAAATGGAACAAGGGAACTTACACATATTGCCATTTGAGCTGGCCCCGTTGCTGACACCAGAGAGAGTCCCCATCTGACCGATGGATGTTGTCAAGGCAACGGGTCTGGCTACCGGTGGTGGTGGAGGCGGAGGAAGCATGGCGGTAGGGATGAAGCCGGCGATCTTGGTGGGACTGTTTGCATTGCCTACAGCTGCTCCGGTCTTGACATGAACCTAAATGAGACAAGGGTTTAAGAGAAGAGACTTCAGTGATGTCTTCTGATTTGATGGAGCAATTGAAATTCATGGTAAGAGCTCAATGCAAAATTTAAGTGGAGTTTACTTTCTTTCTTTTATCAACCATCATCATCTTTATCACCATCATCGTCATCATCATCACCACCATCACCATCATCATTATCATCACCATCATCGTCATCATCGTCATCATCACCCACCACTACCATCACTACCATCACCATCATTATCATCATCACCATCATCATCATTATCATCACCACCATCACCATCACCCACCATCATCATTATCATCATTATTATCATCATCATCATCATCATCATCACCACCACCATCACCATTATCATCATCGCCATCATCATCATCACCATCACCCACCACCACTACCATCATCATCACCATCATCATCATCACCATCATCATTATCATCACCATCATCGTCATCATCGTCATCATCACCCACCAGCACTACCATCACCATCATCATCATCACCACCATCATCATTATCATCACCACCATCACCATCACCCACCATCATCATTATCATCATTATCATCATCATCATCATCATCATCATCATCATCATCATCATCATCATCATCATCATCATCATCATCATCATCATCATCATCATCATCATCATCATCATCATCATCATCATCATCATCACCACCACCACCACCACCATCATCACCAATATCATCATCGCCATCATCATCATCACCATCACCCACCACCACTACCATCATCATCATCACCATCACCATCATCATTATCATCACCATCATCGTCATCATCGTCATCATCACCCACCACCACTACCATCACCATCATCATCATCATCATCATCATCATCATAATCATCATCATCATCATCATCATCATCATCATCATCATCACCACCACCACCATCATCATTATCATCATCATCACCATCATCATCATCATCATCATCCTCATTATCATCATCCATACCATCATTGCAATCACCACCCTTCCTTTACTTAATACCATCATCAGAATTTCATATCCTTATATCATCAAAAGTTTTCCATAACCATTGCCATTCCTCTGGCTAACATCTCCATCCTCCTCCTACCTTCACTAAAACATAATCAAGCTTCTTTTTACCAAATACCATAATCATAAGCTTTTCATATCCTTATAAGACAGTTTTCTTAATATTTTCATAAACTTCCCCATTCCCCTTGCTTTAACATCCCAATCCTCTTGAATCTCCAACACAAAAGACTGTTCCTTCCTTACCGGATGATTCTGCGTCTCCTGATGACTGACTAGCTGAACATAGTCCGACAGCTGGGCACTCTCTTGGTTCGGTGCCGAATGGACTCTCAGCTGGTTTTGATAATACCCAGCTGAAGGCGGACCAGGCGAGGGCGCCATATTGGCATAAGATAGGTTTGGTTGACCAACTGGAAGCAAATATGAAGTACAGACAGGATCAACTATTGAAATAAAAAATGGACAGGTGCAGAAATATTTAGATATTGAAAGATAAGATTATGTAACTGTGAATCGACTGGTAGAGTGCCTTAGTTACCCATATTCTGATGATCAGAAAGATGTTACTGGGGGAAGCAAGGAAAGTAGCATGAGGAGATGTTGCCGATTATAAATATAAAGTTACAGTATACAAAGTAAAATTAAGAACAGGTTGACCAAGATACTTCAATTTAGTTGGGGGCTCAAGGGTGGGGGGGGGGGGATAGTTTGCAGGCACAAACCTGTATCAGTCGTATGTAAGAGAGTCTGCACTATGAGACTAAAATAGGACATGTAAGCCTATTACGCTGCTATTTGACACAGCCAGAAACTGGAAGATTTAGGCTCTGCTCAAGGCTCTAGGAATTGTTGTTAAGTATCAAATTAGAGCATGTGCTTGCAGATTAAGAGGGGGGGGGGGGGGGGCTCTGCTGCACAATTCTATTTGACTAAGTCTTTCAATCAAAATGGTATGATTCCTTGCACTTCGATACTCTCTTTCAAAGAAATACATCCCACCCCTTAAAAAAACCAACCCAGCAACTAAAACAGAAGAAAGAACAACTCAAATAGAAGATTGTCAACAAAGTTCAAATTTGAGTCATTCCCTGCTTTCATCCCTCCTCTCATCCTTTAAGATCTTGAACTTCTCATTACACTCTCTACTACTTCCCATCACCAATCCCATTTGTCTGTCACCCATATCCCATAATCCACTTCACTTCCTTTACCCCCTTCCAGACGAGTTCTTCAACTGCCGATCTCCTTGCTTATCCCTCCACCCTGTAATAGGCTTAACGAGCCCTAGCAAACCGTGTTTGGTCTCTCGTAGTTAGGTACATTCCTGTTATAATCCTACAGAGTATCGTATGACTGGGATGAGCTAGCGATTTGGTCGTTATCCGCTCTACTGAAAATTCAGGCCGAGTTAATACAAGATTTTTTTACCGGCCAAGTATCACGATATTGAAACATGTAAAGGTTAAAACAAGGTTAAAACAAGGTAGTGTCAATAACGTTTTTCATTCACTGATTGTAAAGTTGAAATGCAACATTGCAGGAGTGCACCTGAGTTCTCAAACATGTTTAAAACTGTTAGTTTGTAAATACAAACCCTAAATCAATTATTACATATGGTGCAGAGTCTGAAATATTGTAGTGTAGGGCAAAACATACTTCTTATATAGAATATTTTGTGATGTATCTGCCACAACTGTAATCATAAAACTGGATAACGCATTAGTAATTAGGCCACAGACTATCACATAGCAAGTGCAGAGAATTATAACATAACCTGATCCTGCCAAGAAAGAATATTCCAATCTGTAATTTTAATTTTCTTGATTTATGTCCCTCATCTATAGAGGTTTAAAAAGTTATATGAACACAGCCTCTCGTAGCTGTAGCAACACTTTGCGTTAAATCATACAGCTTTTCCCCTGGATATCAGCTTCACCTTATAGCGGTTATCCCCAATCTATCAAATTCTGAACGACACAAACTAATCTCCAATGACATTTCACATCAACTTGTACTTTTTTGGCAGGTTTTTTACTGTGGTGGAGGGGTCAACAAGACAGGCAAGTGGCTCTTAAGATTTACATTTAATCATACCTCGATCGCACCTTACTCGTACACTATTCAAGTATCAGCGAGTCACTTTTTAAAGTTTTCTTAACAATCAATTTGTCACAGTAATCCTGCGTAGGATCAAAATGATGATGGTAATGTGTTTTTATATCTGTCAAAAGTATTTGTAATATTTTAGGAACAATACACTTTCATAGAAAGAGAGCAAACATATCAAAAGCCTCTGAAATTGAACATATTTTATAAATGTATTTCAATATAACGAGTCATTTTAGAGCTGCAGACAAGTGTCCAGCCATTCCTCATGTCTGCTTTAGCTTGATGTCTCTTCAAGAGAAAGAGAGCGAAATGGGGGCTAAAAAGAGGTTTCAAGCTAGCTGCCCAACTGTCTGAACTTTGATGACAAACCTCTCTAACATTTAAATAAATTTACAGCTGTCACTATTACGTGTCTATTCATGTGGGGTCAAATAAATCGTTCTCTGGATTCTTTCTGCACTAATGAAAGAGAGCTCTCTGGCCATCCGGTCAAACTATGAACATTATCTCAAAATAGGATGAAGGAGAAAGGGAGAAGGGGGAAAGAGGGGGAAGAAGGGAAGAGGGGGAAGAAGGGAAGAGGGGGAAGAAGGGAAGAGGGGGAAGAAGGGAAGAGGGGGAAGAAGGGAAGAGGGGGAAGAAGGGAAGAGGGGGAAGAAGGGAAGAGGGGGAAGAAGGGAAGAGGGGGAAGAAGGGAAGAGGGGAAGAAGGGGAAGAAGGGAAGAGGGGAAGAAGGGAAGAGGGGGAAGAAGGGAAGAGGGGGAAGAAGGGAAGAGGGGGAAGAAGGGAAGAGGGGGAAGAAGGGGAAGAAGGGAAGAGGGGGAAGAAGGGAAGAGGGGGAAGAAGGGAAGAGGGGGAAGAAGGGAAGAGGGGGAAGAAGGGAAGAGGGGGAAGAAGGGAAGAGGGGGAAGAAGGGAAGAGGGGGAAGAAGGGAAGAGGGGGAAGAAGGGAAGAGGGGGAAGAAGGGAAGAGGGAAGAGGGGGAAGGGGAGGGGCTAGTACGGAGTTTCAAGCCACCTGTTTGGACGGTGGTCTGCATGAACATTCATGACAAACATCACTATTTCACGGGTTTATAGCCATGAACAACTGTTTCTTGTGATCTGGCAATGATAGGTCACTTAACTGTCAGGTCAATAAAATCATTTGTCAGGGTAGTCACTAATTAGACATCTCCTCAGCCACTTGAACGAGGCTACTAACATCTCTCAGGAAAGGTGATGGAATTATTTGTATCTTTTTAATAAATAATAATGAACCTGTATTTTCTTTACTCCCTTTATCAAGGACAGGGTGTCTTATAAACAGTTAATGGCAATTAATGTCACTTGCAACTATGTACATAAGAGATAGGAGACTGTAAATTTGCAATTGATCAGAGGACTTGAGAATGATTCAGATTAACCGAAACTCTTTAAAAGACAAAGCCCAGATATGAAAATCATTACAGTATAAATATTCTGGCTTTCTGGCAAACAGCACTGCCCATTGCATGGTCTTGAAGTTTGTATCCACTTACCACTCACGTTAGTTACACTAGTTATTGCAACCCAACCCTCTAAGATCCTCTAATTTCATTTTCACTCAATGTGGAAGAAGGGTAAAGAATTTCCAGGGGGGCTCATCTATACTCACCATTCTGTGGGCTACCATCGGGCAGTGTGCAGGCGCTCATGGAGCCGTCTCTCTCTATCTTGATACCTCCTGGTCTGGATCCGGTGGGAGACTGTGCGTTAGGGAGACCGGCTTTGGGCTTGTTCATGTTGGGAGAATGGATCCCAGGGCTGGCTCCTGGATGAGGGACAGAAGAAGGAGAGGGAGAGGGAGAGGGAAGAAAGAAATACAGTCAAACCTGCTTTAGTCACCACCTGTCTACAACAAGCACATTTTTTGTTTCCCTTGAAAATGGTTTCTCATTGAAACATGTACTAAAGGAACCTGTCTACAAAGACCACCTGTCTACAACAAGCACATTTTTTGTTTCCCTTGGGCGATCGCTGTAGACAGGTTTGAAAGTAGTTCTTGGGGGGGGGGGGGTGTTCCACAAAGGTCCTAAGTTGAACTTAACTCTAAGTTAGACTTACAAATTATGGAGAGCCATTTGTAGCCTTAAAATAAAATAAATTCAAAAGTGAAAAAGTATTTTAGACTTTTTATAAATTCCACATCAAGAACATGAAATTTCATTGAAAATAGATGTATGAATGATTTGAATCAACATTTTTATGCTTTTTAAAACATCTTTTACAAAATATTTTCATAGATGCTAACTGCTTTCTATGATTGTTAAGTCCAACTTAGAGATAAGTTCAATAGGATCTTTATGAGACACCCCCCTGGACTAGGTATTGTAGGATAAACTGCATCCTCATCCTCATCTTCCTAAGATCTACAACTCACCCGCATCCATGTCGCTATGCCAACCGCTGGAGTGGCTACTTAGGGAGTTGGCCGGTGACCTCCCGTAGTACCCGCCCATGTTGTCCCCCTCCTCTCCAATGCTGTCCACCTCGTCATCGGCAGACGACATCGTGGTCGAGTTCCTCTTGATGCGCTTGTTGCCGTGCGTGAGCGAGAGCGGGATGTTGCGCCTCAGTCCGCCCATGGTCTGGCTCCCCACGAGCCCCGGGTGGACGTTGTTGGCGTAGCTGTTGGCGTAGTAGGTGGGCGAAGGGAGCTCGCTAAGGTTGAGGGCGCTACCTAGACCGGTATCTCCTCCTCCCATTAAGATTGGCACTGTTGATGAGGATGAAGAAGGAGAATATTGCACTGGATGATGCAATAACGGAAGATAGGTTCATCAACTAAAATACTTACAATAATACACTGTATTAACCCTATACCCTTTTTCTTTCAATGGTGATGAAAACAATGACAAGCTGGAAAATCATTTTAACTTCACAAGTTATTCTGTAAGAACAAACAAGTAATTATTCAACCAGTAACATCCATATATAAACAGTAAGAGATCCAAGAATGACCTGAGTAAGGCTCACCTCAGATGCAAAAGATTCTCCCTTGCCTACTCTTAAAAATAGGAAAGTTCTTCCTTTACATATCGGGCCAACTATCTATGGAGACTGCCTTTTGTGTCTTTCTTTAATGGTCTTTAAATAGGTTTGACATCATTCATCTTCTGTGATTGTCCTATTAAAGTTATAATGTTGTTTAGAAGACAACTTGTAAATAAAGACCCATCTGTATAGAGATATTTCAGTGGTCTTTGTATACAGGTTTGGCGGTATAATTACTTGTGTGATTCTCCTAAGCTATAATCTTGTATCAAAGGGAACCTGTGTATAAAGACCACCTATCATTTCAGTGGTCTTTATGTAAAGGTTTGACTGTATTATTATTATTACCTTGTGTGATTCTCCTAAGCTCTAATGCTGTGAAGACTCCAGTGGAAGAAAACATGTGGTGGTTCTCCTGACCATTCAGCACACTCACTACAATGATAGAAGCAAAGACAAAAGCAATCATTTACAGAGGGGTATACACTTGTCTACATACAAAATCTTCCTTCATAAAATTTACAGTCTCACTTATCTGATGGTAAAACAGGATAAGTCAATAATAAACACTAGGTTTAGGAGAACATATGTTCTGCGATATGTAGGTAAAATGTATGGACATTTATGAGGGAAAAAATGAAAATATTACATTTTCTTCCATTCCATAATTCTATAGTTGACAAACAATATGAGGTTAAATTTTGTATTGCCATTTCGAGATAAAGTCAGTCAAAACATTAATGAATAACTGACTGGTTCAGGTGGGAGAAATCACAATAGACCAACTGAGACAGACAGCCTTCGAGACCAACAAGATGACCAACAAGACCGACAGGACATGAGACCGAACATGTCATTCTCCTGACAAGCCCGGCAAAGGACTCACATGCCGTTCTCATGGGCCATTAGTCTCGTACACCCTAAAAATAACTTCTGTTCGCCCGCAAGATCTAGCTACACTCTCAATCTTTGGGGATGATCAAAGCCTTCAAGTGGACCTGTTCACAATTTTCATGTTAATCTTCACGTCAAGAAAATCATGATGAACTTTTAGCAAGCAACTATAGAGATAAGTATAGCTGATGTAACTTTTATGAAATATATGGCTTAATGTTCAGAGAAGGGGGTAATCCATGAGCCAATAACGTCTATCATTGTTCTATAAAAAGCACAAGGAATGAAAGGTTACATCTTTAACGTTCCATCTTTAACGTTCCATTGAGGCCTCGATCCTGCTGACAGGTCGTCTTTTAAAATAAGACAAGCAATCCTTCAAAGATTAATAGCTGGGGAAACTGACAACCCGGAGGTTCTTTCATCATAAAAGGTGTTTGATTTTCTGTTCTCTTATATATATATATATATTTTCTAATTATTATTATTTATGTCTTATCGGTCAATCGTCATTGTCTCTTTCGACCTTCCCAGTGTTCACTACCTTATAATATATATTATTTTGCCACGTTTTGGTAATCTATGTACATACTTTTTTCAAGTCAATATATTTACATGTTACACAAATCATGTTTGTCATTATTTTGAGGGATCCACATTTTACAAGCTCTGCTTTTCAGTGGATCATTCCATTTCCACAGGTATATCTTTAAAAAACTTTTAAAAACTATTATACTGGATATTTATGTATACTTTCTATTTCATAACTTTAAACTATGTAAAATGTATTATATTATTGAATGTTAAATTGTTCTTGTCAAAATTACTGTTCTGTTGGAAATGAAAAATAAAACTGAAACTGAAAGGGTGACAAAAAAAGTAGTTGAATACACGAGTACATGTTGGCATGTTAACCCATTGTTAGTGTGTTATTGTGTGTGATTGGTTTCAAGGTGCATTAAGCATGTAAAAAAAACTCAAACCAAGGTCAAAATCAAGTCAGACATTAAGGCAAAAAATCTAACCAGAAACTTCCAATGGCAAATGAAAATTATCTTATGCCCTTCTACTTCCAACCTATTTTATATTCTGAGGTTTAAAAAGTTCAAACTTGACCTGCAGCAAAAAAGGTCCCCTGTGATTATTTCAAGAAAATACTCATGTCACTTGCTAGCAGCTAAAAGGGCGTTTACTTGTGATATTGCATACTGTATGAATGTGTATGGCAAGCCTCTCTGGCTGATAGTCTATGACAACATTTTAGAATCTGTTTGTATTGATGTTTGAGGAAAGAGCAACCAATAGAGACATCACTATCAAGTGTCTGCGATTATGACCACGATGGCTCCTAAACATGATTAATCGATCACAATGTGTTACTCAGCAAACATGTTTACAAACACGCGGTTTATCAAACCTTCCTGTCCTGACTAGGAGTGTTTTTTTCTGCAAACACACGCACACAGCTAGCTAGTAACGTGGCAGCCATCATTCCCTGGCTCGCGTCCATCTCCAGATCAACTCCCAAAGCTCCCTCCTCGTAAAGATAACTTCCGCCCTCGCTCACGATGATCGTATCACACCCAAAATGTCAGAGGTGTATGCACTTACGACGACGCAACACTTCAGCCAGCGGAAAAGTCAAAACTGTGACTTTATTAACATCAGACAGCAAGATGGGCTCTTAGTCAAGGGCGCATAAGCCCATCAATTCAAGTAGCGTGTCGTTATGATAACAATTCCTGTAACTAAGGAAGTTAGGCGGGCGGGGTGGGGGAGGAGGAATTAAATGGTTATTACGGAGAAAAGAGATCGGATTCAGGGAAGGATGACATGGAACATAACCTTTAAGAGAAGACCAGTCTAGCTCCCTCACACCAGCGTTAGAAAGCAGTCAAGTCATTGAGGATGGCGGGTGCATGCCTTTGTCTTGGTTGAGAAAGTTCTACATCAACTCGACAAACCATTTCATTTTGTTGTATGCCCATTAAAAGGGCACTAAGAGACTCATGAGCAACGTGTATATTTCAAGAAATTTACTTCTAGGACCCTGTCTCTTTGGGGTATCGATCAATTTGAGAATTCCACTATTAACTTGCTGTCTCATGAACAAGAACATAGTAGGCAATAACTGAAAACACCTACTCGTGGTAAAATATGAGGGATGGTTTAATTTAGTAGCTAATAAGGGGGGGGGGGGGAGCCATTTGGTAATGAACTTCATTTTTGTACTAAAAGTTAGGTCTGCTCTGTTTTTGTTTTCAAATACATAAAATTTGTTGGTGTTTGTGTTCATCACCACTGCCATGCCTTATAATTTGTTTTGGTAAGGATCAACAACAAAAAAGAAATGTACCTCCTAGTACATCAGATGCACAGCTCCCCCCCCCCTACAGACATAACTTGATTAATCTATGAATTCATACCATGTACATGTACACAGTCAATAACTAAATTATTCATACCCTTACCAAGTTTTGTAATTTTGTAAGTAGGCCTATGTGAAAAATTGATTTGGAACGATTTATATTTCATGAGAATGTGACATATCAAAGCTTACATCTAAAAGAATTCAACAAAATTCTTAATTCAACCAGTTCACCTTTCATTCTTGAGTTACAAAAAAACACCCCAAAAACATCAAATTTACAAGGGGTATGAATAATTTAGTTGTTACCTGTATGTCCTGAATGTACATGTATCGCACATAACATATTTTATTTATATTATCCCTCCTTTGTCCTTGTACTGACTTTCTCAACCCCATTATGTGCATTGTGAATGTACTGAGGCCGATTGCCAATAAAACCCCTCAAAGAATAACAAATGTTATCAAGTTTGGAATCTCTGCTCAAATATCCTACTACTGTAGAAGGTAAAATAAGTGATAGCATCTCTTTGTCAATACTACAAATACATGAGTAATTGATTTATAAACATTGTACAGAGATATAAAAGTTGGATAGAATTCAGAGATCCTCTAATATTTTACGATCAACAACGGACAGATATACCTGTCACTGTACACCCATGTAAAGAAAATGGGGAGAGAGATAGAAACAGACGATATAGAGATACAGAGGAAGAAAGCGGAGAGAGGGGAGAGAGGAGAGAAGAGAGAGAGGAGAGAGGGGAGAGAGGAGAGAGGAGAGAGAGGAGAGAGGGGGAGAGGAGACAGGAGAGAAGAGAGAGGAGAGAGAAGAGAGAGGAGAGAAGAGAGAAGAGAGAAGAGAGAAGAGAGAAGAGAGAGAGGAGAGAGGAGAGAGGAGAGAGAGAGAGAGAGAGAGAGAAGACCAAAATTGTATCAGAATGATGAAAACAGCAACCAAACACAGGAAAATAAAATTACAGATCCAAAGCAGATAATTCTCTGAATTAAATACAGACATCAAACAAACAGAAAAATCTGGATATCTAGATTGAAAAAAATGAAGAACGCCTCTTACGACACAGGGAGCTGGGCTGGATAAACTAAATCATTCATATCTTGGGACACGTTCTATTGCATGAAACTGTATAGAAATAAAGCTAATCATGTCATGTCAAGTCAATATACATGTACTTTATGTTTGTTATTTTTCAGAGAACAAGAAGGAAGTAAGCGCATGTAAATCAACATCAATCATCCATATACCTCATCCTTCACTCCCACCTACTGCTGCAAGGAATAATCAATTAGCAAATGTAATGAGTTTGAAAGTGGATACAATCACTGCATAACCACGGCTTAAAGAGAAATGACAGACATGATGAATTCCAAAGATGGCGTCCATGTTTCTACCATGAACAATGATGAGACCACAATTTCTGTGAAACCCGCCAGCCATCAACCAAACAAACCAAACAAACCTTCTGTTTTAAATTGAGTTTGACTATCACCCTTACATGGGGAGATGTCATTTTAGTGTTTCCGCTACTGTGGCCGATCCAGGCGCCCCCCCCCCCCCCCATTTCCTTAGAAAGTGGTAACAAGCAGGACTTCCATGTAGTCTACTAAGCAGACTGTGGTTCATTTTTACTTCTTGATTCAATTCTCAAGCTTGACACAGATGTACAGTCGGACATGTGCCACCTAGTATAGCAGTTGTACAATAGTACAAACCAATTTAAGTAGCAATGAATTGATGTCAGAGTTTGGGAATGATTTGTCTTAATTTCCTCTCCACACATGGCCAGAAAGAGGTTTATTTCGCTAATCTAATTGTTAGAGGAGAATAGATCCTTCCGGTATGAGTCAGGATGAGGGCTTGGATAACAACTAACATGGCTGTCATCGGTTAAACACTGTCAGCCTCAACCTTTTTGTTGTTGTTGGTTGAGTGAGAGTTGTAATAAAGGGTAAGTCAGCAGTGAGTGAAAATAAATCCATCACTCCTTACACTCCTCCTCCCATAAGAGGATATTAAGAGTCTTTCAATATCATTTAGGCTCCTACAACAAATTTAAACTACTGCATTCAGATTAACCCTTTATCTTTGAGGACATAAAGTCCTGAACACATCCCAATTATTTTTTGAAAAATCGACTCGAGGGCAAATTCA